TTAGTTCTTGGCTGATGCAGAAGATTCCTTTGAACAGTGTGGTTGGTCAACGATCCTTAACTTAGCACGCGGCAAATCCGCATGGCCCGGGCCGGGCCATGTCACAGAAGGAGGAGCGCCCGGCGACAGCCGGGCGATCCGACTGGTCATGGTATAACTGATTATAGTGTTGCGTGCCCTAACAATAAGCAATGAAATCTGCAATGATCCTCAAAGTGTAATTACTCAGGTGACAGTCGGGAGAACACAAGGATAAGGTTCTGAATGCAGCACTTCCCACGCTCACTTCAGGGAGTTATACGCTTCCCTTAAGATTCCTTGGAATGCTTCCATCAGGTTCCTTGTATTTCTACATCAGTGTATTAACAGAATGATGCGAACGCTATTTGATTTCAGTTTTACCGTCCAGGACAACCAGACCTGTCAGTTAACGGTTGGGTAATTAGTAACAGACCTCTCTTGGATGAAAATAACGCTGAATACATTGAGTGGCTCAGCAAAATTACTTTACGAGGCCAGAAAACCAAAATTCCTCCATCATTGTGAATAGAATGCTTTCCAGGAAGTCTTGATCACAATCGGAAACTGCATCTTTTTGCTCTTCTGTACCTCTTGTGTTACGATGTTTTACCGTGGTAAAAGTCATCACTTGTCTCATCCCATCATTCCCGCTGTACAGCATCAATTGTAGTGTCTCGTCGAATCGAAGTAAATTTTGAAAAAAATATAATATTATTCTGAATTGTTTTCCAGACCTGGCAGGAATGTCGGACGATAAAGTAGAAATAAAGGAGAGCGACATGGAGGAGGCCGAGCAATCCGTAGTGATAGGCGTTGTTCGAGAAGCTCAACGGTTGTACAATATCGACAAGGTGATTGGTTTCTAACTGCTGACGATTTGTTGCTAGTTTTCATAATCTTTTTAACGAAAAATCGGCTGATGAGTAAGGCAAATATTCGAAGAAATTTGTGAACGAGAAAGACATCGAAGAGGTAGCCTAGTTTCCGTGCCGAACATGCCCTTAGGCTGCTTTCATACTCTGCGGCAGCGTCCACTAGTGTTTCCAGCGTCCGGCAGCGTTAGCCACTGGGAAGGTGTGATATCTATCTAGCGTCTACCAGCGTCCACCAGCGTCCGGGAAAGTATGGCGCGATTGGAGCGTAGAAGACAGTTGGTAGAGTATGGCGAGATAGAAGGGGAGCAGTCTGGTAGACGTTGATGCACGCTGGCAGACGCTGGAAGACGCTAAATCGATACCTGTACCCCAGCCCTCGAGACGATGATGGACGCTGGACGACGCTGGTGCTCGGTGGTAGACACTGGCAGACACTAGAGCGATATCAGTACTTTCCTAGTCGCTGACGCTGCTGGATGCTCGAAACGCTAGGACGCTGCTGCAAAGTATGACCGCAGCCTTTCACGGAACAAGCGGTAGGAACATTTTCGTTCTATGCTTGTATGTAAGTCACTGTGTAGGCTAAGTATTCGAGAACCGCTCGATCCTGAATGAAATCACGAGCATGGCGAATTCCCAAAGTTACTCATCCATTCTGAACGGTTCTCTGAGAGTTGTTCTGCATTTTAGCGCGGCTCAACAACACTTACGAAGTGTTTGTGTTCAGGATGTAGCCGCATTCATCAAGGAAGAATTGGACAAACAACTGGGAGCAACTTGGCATATCATATGTGGGAAGTGTTTTGGCTCTCGCGTTTCCTATGAGATGGGACATTTTCTGTTGCTGAAGTGTAATAAGGTGGGCTGTTTTCGCTTGGCATAAAATAGAGCATACATGCAGGCGTTCTAGTTGTGTATTTGTTGTGAACTTCGAGGTAGTCCCAGCAGTTAAAAGTGGCTGATAGCGGATCGAAAACGCAAGTGCAGGTGCTAGTTGGCCTGGGAGTGGGTTCGAATACGACACCCACTTGGGACTCCCTCAGTGTACGACGTGCCCTGCTGGTGGCAGGCGACGCTCAGCACGTCACGCTTCAAGGACCAGGTGGAGCTCATACCGAGCAAATTTAGTTGCTTATTGGCCAATCCCAACCAGTTTCTTGGTATCAAATCCGTTTGAGAGGATAAAGCCTCTCTCAGAAGGCCAGAAGGCAAATACGACCCTTTAAGTAAGACCCCCTCTCCCCTTTATAGCGCCTCTGAAACAAGGAAAAATCAGCTACCAAAAATTTTTTTCAGACCAAATACGACCCGGCTCCTTCCCCAATGAGCAAATAGGACCCCTCTGTTGGAGAGTCCCCAAGGATGATGTTCCCCAATTGAGCTGAACATAACAAGAAGTCAGACGCATTTAAACGAAGTAAAATCTGATCCACTGAAACAGCTCCCCAAGAGAATAGCCTGCTGCGGGAGTGCAAGAGAGTCGTAGTTCGCCGCTTTGTCCCAATGGGAAGTCCTTAATTTGCACTATCCTTTTCATTGGGGCATCGGATTTCATGTAGACAAGGACATGGTAGACACTTATGTCTATTTTTGGTCATACATTGTCTATTCTCGACCAATACCACCTAAAATCGTCGTCATTAGCAGGCGCGACGTCGCACGCGACGCCCACTGGCGCGGCGAATTACGATTCTCTTGCCACATACCCGCCTCCTGCTTGCACAAGTGACATTCATTCACTCTTGACCGCACTGCTAGCAGTTCCCGTTCTATTCTTTTTCAGTTTCGGCAAAGAATCAAGTTAGAGCGACCCTGTAGTAGACGGCCGCCTGACCCTGAATAGTGAGTGAGCGTCTTTATTGTTTTGAAAAATATTATTTGCAGGTGAATGTAATGATCTTCAAATGCGGCTACTAGATTTCACTGCAGCAGTCTACATATTCCTCATTGTACATTACAGATATTGTATAAAGCTTTACGTCTTGCTATTTTCACATCGCTTACATTATATGCCGTGTTGCAGTCCGGCTGGGCGCTGTGAGGATGCGTGGAGTAAACCCACCCGCCGTCTTCTACTACTGGTTG